AAGGGAAATCTATTTATTTTAATTTTCTTTTGTCAGATGATATAGATTACAACTTTGTAGAAGCCAAAGATCATGACGATAATGATACCATAAACAGAAAGGCCAGTTTTAGAGCATTTTCGATGACAGTATCAAGTTATCTTTGTGTTGCTGTATGAAGGTCACAGGGTCTCGTGATGATTAATGAGAAATGTTACTTTTCATGGTCTGAAGATTTTTCAAACCATTAATTCCAGAACTTAACACATTTAACAAAAGGACGAGATACAGACTCTGAAAAATTAATGTTGACAAAGGATTTTAAAGGAAACTAAATCATACTATTTACTTAGTAAATGCATAGTTAGAGCCTTCAAGGCCATGTAAGGGATGGAGACCTGAACTGAAGTTTTAGTACTAAGTATGAGTAAAATCGCACTGATTTAAAACTATGTAGCTAAGGAGATCTTCACATTCCTAAGCCAGTATGATGCCAGTTTTCAGAATGCATTTCGCAATGAGGAACAGCCATGTTTAATCCATAAGTAGTGTCTGCTTCAGAAGACTGTAAACCCTCAGCTGGCTTCCCAATTCCACTTGTGAACTCTCTTCCAAACATCCGCAATGTCTCAGCTTCCCTCCAAACCATCTTTCCACAACTTTTATATTTTAAGTTGTTTCACCTATGTAGGTAGCTGATGTTAGAAATTTTACATGACAGGATAGTCTTGAAACAGAATGTTTCTTAAAGGTATCTCCTCTCATCCTTTGTAAAAAAAAAAAAATAGCACAGTCTTGATTACTGGAGGACTTTAGGAAATTTCACTTAAGATTGAGAAGCCTGGTTTGTACTTGGTGATTTACAGTTCAGGTCTCTAGAGGATATTTGTTATTGGTTTACTTGATAAGTAGAGTCTAAATTCAAAAATACATCTTTTTTTTGAGACAGGTTTCTGTGTGTATCCCTGGATGGCTCTCCTAGAAGTCATTCTGTGGACCAGGCTGGCCATGAATTTAGAGATCTGCCTGCCTCTGCCTACCAAGCACTAGGATTAAATGTATGTGCAACCAACGCCCAGCAGAAACACATATCTTAAAAAGCATTGGGAGGTCTGTTTACTATTGAACATATCAACAAATCTAAAGAATTCTGTCCTGAACATACCCTGACTGTGAGCTACTGTGCACATTGAAGCTTTGTGAATCAAAACTGGTCAAATGAAAGCACAGACCCATCTATCACTTAACCTGAGATCTTCTACCTGACTTCTAGCTTGGTGTTAGCATACTATATGCAACCAGCTATATTCTTTTTCAACAATTGAACCTGGGATAGCAAAAGAAAAGGTCCTATGATCTATGAAAGAATACATTCAAAAAGTTTGAATGCTATAAGAACCATTGGAGTCAAGGTGAAATCAATGCGCACAAACTTATGAAGACATGATACATTTGTAGAAACTCCACAATGTTTTGAGAAAAACTTGGTTATCTGTTAACCACTTTCTCTTTCTTCTTTGTCTTCTTTACTAATAAAATTCTTATTCTGTTTATATGATGACAAGTGACTAGCCACAATTATGAGGAAGACTAAGCCCAGGGACTTGCTAGAGCCTTTGTATGGCTACTGATTAGAATTTCTGTTTTTTTTTACACAAAAATACAACTTTATTAAAAATATTCAGAATATAACCTGATATTTTATATTCTCTTTAACGCTTTATATTCATACCTATTTTTGAAATTTTATTTTCCTAAACAAGAGATGAGTCCAGATTATATACATGATATGTTGTAGCAAAGATACTGTAGGTTAACTATACATTTACTTTTTTTAAAAAAATTATTGGATATTTTGTTTATTTACATGTCAAATGTTATCCCCTTTCCCAGTCCCCCCCCCAAACTCCCTATCCCATTCCCCCTCCCCTGCTTCTATGAGGGTGCTACCCCACCCACCCACTCCTGCCTCCCTGCCCTCGAATTCCCCTATACTAGCGCATCAAGCCTTCATCTGACCAAGGGCCACTCTGTAGGAGGAGCTAAGGTGGGAGGAGTAAGGAGAGGAAGAGGAGGAGTTGGGAGAAGAAGAGAAAAAAGGAAGAGGAGGAGCAAGAGAGGGCAGAGATGTAGGAGGACGGAGAACCACACAGGTATAGAGAGCACTCGTGGGGAACAACTTATAAACTTATAATTAGGTTAGCTAATTGGGATACAACTCTCTTTGTATGGGCATCTTGTTATTAATCATTATCAAACATATAAATCCTTTGATTAATCTATAAGAATTAGAGTCTTATTCTCTTGCTGGGCCCGCATAGATGGCAGAAAGGTCTAGGCAATGCCCTGCCTTGCGGTGACAGCGTGGAAGATTGGCAGAGCTATCTCTCACGCTGGCATCTAGTGGGTGGCAGGGTTGGTGTTTCTGGCGGGCTGGTTCTAGCTACAGTGTCCAGAAGAAACATAGCAGCTGGGCTAGGCAGAGCCTCTGCAGCTTAGATAATCAGCCTGAGCCAGAGGCCAATTTAATTATTTACGACAACACCTCTCCTCCCATTGATGCCCGACAAGGCCCTTCTCTGCTACATCTGCAGCTGGAGCCATGGGTCCCTCCATGTGTACTCCTTGTTTGGTGACTTAGTCCCTGGGAGCTCTGGGGGGTCTGGTTGGTTGATATTATTGTTCTTCTTCTTATGGGGTTGCAAACCCCTTCAGGTCCTTCAGTCCTTTCTCTAACTCCTCCATTGGGACCCCACTGGGGACCCCACGCTCAGTCCAATGGTTGGCTGTGAGCATCTGCTTCTGTATTTGTCAGGTTCTGGCAGAGCCTCTCAGGAGACCTCTATTTCAGGCTCCTGTTGGCATTCACTTCTTAGCATCGACAATAGTGTTTAGGTTTGGTGACTGTATATGGGATGGATCCCCAGGTGGGGCAGTCTTTGGATGGCCTTTCTTTCAGTCTTTGCTTCACACTTTGTCTCTGCATTTGCTCCCATGAGTAATTTGTTCCCCTTTCTAAGAAGGACCGAAGCATCCACACTTTGGCCTTCCTTCTCCTTGAGCTTCATGTGAATTGTATCTTGAGTATTCCGAGCATTTGGTCTAATATCCACTTATCATTGAATGCATACCATATGTGTTCTTTTGTGATTGGGTTACCTCATTCAGGATGATATTTTCTATTTCTATCAATTTGACTAAGAATTTCATGAAGTCATTGTTTTTAATAGCTGTGTAGTACTCCATTGTGTAAATGTACCACATTTTCTGCATCCATTCCTCTGTTGAAGGGTTCTTTCCCACTTCTGGCTACTATATATAAGGCTGCTATGAATATAGTGAAGCATGTGTCCTTGTTATATGTTGAAGAATCTTTTGGGTATATGCTCAGGAGTGGTATAGCTGGGTCCTCTATACATTTCTTATAAATTCAGCTCCGTGATAGCATGTTAGTGGCTTAAAACCTATTCATGTGAGAGCATTTAAGCTACAAAATCAACAAATGCTTTAGACCAGTGCTATGATCATGTGCTGGGTTTAAGTCATTTACTTGTTATGTCATCATTCAAAACTAACTAGGGGAATTTCATTCCGTTTCTGTTGATTGGTTTAGGAAAGGGCAAGGGACTAAGCAAGTTCTGTTCTGTAATGAGTAGGATAGATAATAGATAGATAGATAGATAGATAGATAGGATAGATATATGCAAACATATATGCATATATATATATACACACATACATAGATGATAGACAGATTTTAAAATACAATTATGATAAGAAAAGTATTGAACAGACAAAATCTATCAAGGGTTTAGTTGTATCAGCCAGATCAGGAGCTATTAATCTTTTCTCAAATACATTTTTTATATTGTCAAGTTTTTAATTAAATAAAATTAAGTTAATTTGAACATTCCTATCATTAGTGCAACATTAACATACATTGTATTTCTGGCATAATTGCTTAGTATGACTCAGTAGGCAGATGTGTATGTGAATGTTACAAATTAATCAGACTAGGCTACATTCCATTATAAAAACCTGAATAAACTGAAAGTAGATTCATGAGAAAGTGGGTTTTATTACAAAGGCACAGAACCATATTCCAAACCTGGCCTTTCATGAAAATGAAATAAGAAAACATATCATTTACTTTAAATAGGTTGTTACTTGGTTAAGGTAAGAAAAGCGATGAAAAAGATGCAGCTATTTCATCTGATAAAAAGATAATCAAAACCCAAATCACATTTCCAAGGACAGGTTTCATGAGCCTCAATCAGTTCTGTTAGGATCCCATTCTAGCCTGCATGAGAGATTTTTGTGGGCTTTCACATGGAGTCTGAAACCCATCTTCTGCTAACATAGCTGAATATTTAGACTGTTAATTAGATTCTTTAGATTAGAAATATCAAATAACCTTATTGAGAGCTGGAATGCCAAATGTATATTTGGTTGTATGTGTATTTTTCTGAATGAAGATAAAATTTATTGAAAACCAAGTATAAGAAAATCAAGAATATTAAATCTATCGAGACATGTGGGGTTTTTTATTAAAGGCAGAAAAAGCCTAACCCTTCCAGGTCATTCTTCCCACTACGCTGTGATAATGTATAGGGATATCTTCTAAAGACACAAAGACAGATGAGAACTGAAAATCCTGCCAGAAGTTGAGACTCATCATACCAGATGGACCACCAATGACACTCATGACAGTAATGCATTTCTATACTCCACCTCCAGGTACTCCAGGACCCTTTATATTGTACAAATCAGTTATAGGAATTCTTAACCTACTTCATAAAATAGCTGGTGAGATGGCACAGCACATGAAGACACTTCTCACGAAGCCTGAAGCTTTAAGTTTGATTCTTAGAACTCATATGGTGCAAGAAGATGAGGGAAAGTTATCTTCTACGTATTTATCATAGCATGCACAGACACACATGAACACACACATGCAGGTAATTATAAAAAGAACATTGACGACAGTATGTGTATGTATAAAAAAGAAACAAAAATGTTACCAGATACAGCCAGGAAGTCATCAATGCTGGTGATGTCATCCACTGCTTCAGTGAGGACATGAATGTAGTGCTCCCATGTGCGCTTATACATTTCCATGGTGTTTTTGACCACTTGACTCTTGGGTCTTGATGCCAAAGCAAGTGCAGCATTTATGATCTGTAAAGATATGGATGGTATGTATGTAGTTACTTCCTTTGAGAACAAAAGCCAATTTGCAGACAACAGGTACTCTTTTTCTTCCTCTCTGTTTATGATTAAATTGGAATATCCTAGCAACCAGGTGAATGACATGTATCACTATGCATATTTTGTTCTTTGTTTTTGGCAACATCAATTTTATTAGTATTTATTGATAATTTAAGCATTTTTTAAAATACTGCATGAAAATGTCAAAAGATTACAAGATATAAAAATATAATGGGTGTTGGAATTTAAGGAGCTTGGATATTGTTCAATGTGAAAGATCACATATAATTACTATGCAATTTAGAGTTGAATGTTATCAGAAAAAAATGCAGAAGAGGGTGCTGCTTAAAATAGAGAGGTTATACTCAATATAAGGGCTAAGAAAAACTTTGGATGTATGACATTTATTTATTAAACATGCTTCATTTGTGTGTATGTGAGCATACCACTGTGTGCTGGCATCCACAGAGGCCAGAAAACATAAAAGGTGCCATAGAAGTAGAGGCACAGGTTGTTGTAGGTAAACTTCTTAATCACCTAGCAGTCTCTCTAGCCCTGTAATATGACATTATTTAACTGGGAACTTGGATTCACACAAAAAACTAGCCAGTGCTTGTAAAAATCATTAAAATAAGAACTTTGAGTTATTTGAGAGTAAATACTTCACTGTGCATATTCATTTACACATCCAGTCATTTCCTACCTCAACAAAAACAATCTTTACAAGTACTACCATCAGTTTTAGAATATGACATAGAAGACAATATCAGCAAATGTTACAACTTCTGTAGAGGTAGTATTCCACCCAAGGTAGGCAGGCAATTGAAAGGACCGATCAGTAAAATAGAAGGTCTGTGAGACAGCATGGTGGTTGATACTGGACAGTGTGTTAAAATTTGACAACCTTATATTGAAGTAGATATTTATTAAAATAACATCATCAGTAGTGGTGATATAAAAGACAGAGAAGATTTTTAAAAAAGAAAGGATAAAAAATTTTTGAGTACAGTAAACCATTATACTCAGAGCCTGAGTATGTAGAGGGCAAGGCAGGAATCCCTGGCTTGTACTACAGAACTCCACCTTGTTGGAATGCATCAGAAAGAAATGGCTCAGCCATTAAAGGCTAGGCTCACAACCAAAAATATAAGAAAAGCATGCCAGTGCATGAGCGATCTGTTCGGCACTGTGCTATAAACAAGTAAAGATCTCAACAAACTTAACAGATTATAGAAGTGAGGAGGAATATGAACTACAGTGGTGCAGGTAACAAAAAGGTTTTCATAGGACTTTCAACTAACTAAAGGAAACTACGGGTAGGTCAAATATTCCTGTCAGAAATACTAGGCTGTCATTAGTAATCACATTGGAAACAGTATATAATAGAATTAAGACAAATTCACATATAAAATAGATAATAAGATATCATAAAGAAACACGTTTCATGAGATGTCATGGTAACATATGAGAAATAAGTTCAGTGATTACATGAAACAAAATGGTGATTATCTTTGTGTGACAGATTGGGAGGTATTTTTTGTTTACTTTTCCTTCGATTTGAAAGCACATTTTCTAGAGTTTCTGTGGTGAATAAATGTTAGCAGTGTTGTCAGAATAAATGAAGTTATCCTTGAAAGAAAGATGATGAATATAGTTTTTCCATGACAATTGTGAAGACTGGCAATAAGACCTTGATTAGGGACATTTCAGATGCCAAATAGCAGTCAGAGTTTTAAAGGTCAGAGTTGAACACATGTAGCCACTGACTCTGATAATCCAGAGTTGACATTCAAGCAATTCTTTTTTTCATCAAAAAACAAACACACTGTGAATTCAAAGATTTCAACTAGAATGTCTTTTAAGAGTTATTTTTCTCTTGTTCATATATTGAAGCAAATTGTGGTTTCATAGCTGTAATATATCAGATTCTATACTTGATACATCACAATAGGAAAGGTACCGTGCCTATTTCCTTTCTAACACATCCATAATCTCACCGGGAAATAGGCTTGAATCTTGGCAAATTCAACCAAACAGACAATGTTCTGACTTCAGCCTGTATGAGAATCGGAAGATTCCTAAGCCACTCTCCTCTGGCTTCTGGTTCAGTTGATTTGTGGTGAGGTTTCAAAACTTGCATATCTAAGCAATTCTCAGTTGATCATGATGCTGATCAGTCATACAGGTTCACAAAATAGGATTTTCTTCTGGCCTCACATATCTTGGTTTTGAGGCAATATGGAGATAGAATTACATGTGCCTTTCTCATCAGCAACAATTTGAGAATCTCCCTCCCTGCTTCTAGGAAACCCAGTGTTGAGGATTACAGAGCAAATGATGCTATTTTTGTCATCCTTATTCATCTGCATTTCAGAGACATTGTGGTTCCCCCCCCCCCTGCTTCGTTTAAAACACATGGAAACAACAACCATCGCTGGGTAGCTCTCAGACACTATTCAGATACCTTTACAACTACAATGTTGGATCCTTAGTGGCATCACTTCACATGTAGGGAGACCAAGGGAAAGAAAGGTCTCATACAGGTTATTTAGCTGAAAAATTGTAATCAGGACACAAACTCAGCATCCGCCATGACAGAGCTAGATGTCCCACCTGGCAACATGTCAGTCATTCAAACTCCTTCATGTCATTTCCATCCTGTTTCTTGTTATCAAAAACCAATTTGACAGTACGAACTATATTTTGCATTTCACCTCAGGGACAGGATCATATCCTTTCACTGCTTAAAACCAAGTTGCTATCAAGTATTATTTCAGCCATTTGTTCTTTAAAATTCAACAAAAGCCTGTTTCAGCTGTGTATATTTAACTGTTCCACTTCTACCTGAGACCATGTCACCATTGCTCATGACATAGTTGGGAGGAAGTGACATTAGGTTTCTCACTCTCCAATACTAATGACCGCTCTTGAAATTTGTTATAGGAAGCATCTTTCTGAATCTCCCTGTAGTGCTAGAAAAAAAATTGATACAATGGAACTATAGCATACAGTGCTTAAAAATAAGGATCACTACCAAAGCCTGATGATAAGCGGGAAAGTGCCTTTGCCTAAAAAGCATGCTCTGTTTCATGAGGAAAGGTATCACAACAGAATGCCATACGAAAAATAGGTAGCAATTAATACTGTAAGGAGTGGTTGGTTGGTTGGTTGGTTAGTTGGTTGGTTTGTTGGTTGGTTTGTTTGTTTTAAAGAAATAGTAGCAGCAAGCAAGATAGAGCCTAAACCCATCTCTTGGAGAATGTTCAACATATACTACAGGGGTATAGTGTTGGAATGAAAAACAGAAACCATGATGCATAAGCAAAGAAGAGACCTGTGGAAAGTACAACATAAAAGGTGTAGGGTTAAGACAAAGGGGAGGTTGTAAAGGTGACCTAAGGGAAGAAATCTCTCTTGGGGGAAAGAGGTAGAAAGCCAAGATGTTAAAGGGTCACATGATAAAGTTCCTCTCAAAAGTTCAGGGTAAAAAGAGAGGTAGAAATAACAAGATGCTTTGGTAGAGCCATGGAACAGCTACGTTGGTAAAGAACCTGCCCAATGTGATCATTAGTTTCATGGTCAACCTGAGACGCCCTAGAATTACCCAGGATCAAAGTCTCAGGGAAGGATTGTTCACATTGGATTAGCTTTTGGATATTCTGTGGGAGAGTATCCCAATGTAGTTAGTTAACTGATAGAGGAAGACAAGCCTACTGAAGGCAGGACCAATCTTTGGGCAGGGATTCTCAGCTGTGTCAGAGTAAAGGAAACTAGAGGAACATAAAGCAGACCCATATGAATCTATTTTTCTCTGTTCTTTGCCATGGGTAGAGTGTGAGAGTTTGCTTCCAGCCAAAGTGACTACTCTGCTATGATGAACTGTATCCTGGATTGTAAGCAGAATAAACCCCTTCCTCTGGTAAGGTGCTTTCCATCAAAATATTTTATCACAGCATCAGACATGCCACAAGAACACTTAGCATGCACAAACGTGTGGCTTCTATAAGCTAGCTTACATACACCAGTCATGGTGACTCACAAGGTGGATGTAAAGGGATCAAGATCTCATGGCCATCCTCTGATACATAATGAGTTGGAGGACAGATTGTCGAAACAAACAAGCAAAAATGCTTTTTAGATGTTTGGATTCACTAGCTATAATGACTGCATTAAAAAGTGTCCCTTCCATTCAAAAAGCGAATGCCTACACATTGCTAAAATTCTTTCAATAGAATATTACAGGTAGAAGGCGGAATTCACTTGCTTAAAAACATTATGTCGGCATTCTTTTCTTTTATTTCTTTGCTTGTGAAGGAAAAGCACATTAAATTTTAAGGAAATGTGCTGTAACTTTGGATATAACTCCAGTGAGGTGCCCCTTGACTTCAGTTGTAGAGTTTTATTAACCTATTAACTTACAATATACCTTTGTGTACACTGCAAAAGCTCCAGTCTCTGGTGTTTCCTTGTTCCCACAATTGGATAACAGTATGCACACATGTCTGTGCTAAAATGATGGCGTTCCAGCCAGGCATGACTTTAAAATACCGTTAAAAAGCTGCAGTGGGGATCTGGAGCCATGAATATATGACAGGTGATATTTTGTGAGAACATTTTCAGTTCAACTGCTGATCCAATTTATCTGATTCAACGAAGTACTCTGCAAGAAACTTTATCCTGCTTGAATCTGCTGATATTCAGCTTAAATCTAAAAGCAGACACATTTTGGAAGATATACTAACCCTCTTGAACATGGAAAAAATTTTCTCCTGAGTCATATTTCTGGCATTCTAGCTATATACACTGGACAAAAAAAGATGACCATCCTCCAGTCTTCTTCACATTTAGCTAAAATTTTAAATGAATATTCTTGCTTTCTGAGATACTTTTTTTTTCTTTAGATTATGGTGGAGATGTGTATATGTTAGAATCACCCTGAACCTGGCAATTACCTGGTAGTCAGTTAGCAT